TATATATTAGATATTATATATATATAGCGCAACATGTGTTCAGCCGTCAGTGACTCGGAAATTATACACCCAGTAAAATAGTTGTCAATTTTTCAGGAATTGCTTTAGCGCAAGAATGCGTTACCTCGTTTGATCTTATGCTGTTGCGGATTTAAAGCAAAGTAGTAAATTGCATTGTATCTGCCTCAAAGCATTATTTAAGCCGAATACACAGATGCTGATATTTTTTCCTGTGTGATAGGAAAGGTTGTTTTAACTTTAATTGACCGAACATTATATTTTGAAGCTGGGTATGGGGGAAGCTGTAAAATCGATTATGAGAATAAGATATAGTTTGAGAATATGCAAGTAGGGTCCTCCTAACTATCCTTGTATATTTCAAATGGGCAATAAAGTTTGCAGTTGCTATAAAAAAAATTCACTTCTGTGTGTTTGGTTGTATTTCTGTTTATATCTTGCGTTTTTGTTGTTGTGTAAGGATTGCACTGTTGGAGGGGGCATACTGCTGCCAGTCTCTTACAGATGATGTACGATAGAACACAGTGGCCGCCTGTGGTAGCCGACGTCCAGGTGGATATATGGCACCCTGATGATGATGATGATGATGATGATGATGATGATGATGATGATGATAATGATAAAGATGATGATGATCATGATGATCATGATCATGATCATGATCATGATGATGTTGATGGATTGCACTGAACAATTCGGGATTCGAACCGTGTGTCTGGTTCAGGGACCACCCTATAATATCACTCTATACTAGCTCTCTTACAGTTTATGTGAAGTATGAATTGTGCTTTACTGCATTCACCACAGTAATAAGCGGAATTTCCATTCGATTTGCTATAAAAAAAAATTAATTATAAAATCACTCCAAGACGCATTGCTGACAAACATATGGCACGATTTTCAACAGTATAGGCACTTCATAAATCATTAGTTCATTGCTGCTGTAGTATGCACTTACGTACTACACGCACGCACACGGACCTGTATATATCACACACACATCGCAAAGTCCATCAGTCTTTGACTAGGACGCCCTTATAGATCAATACATTTATGATACAACAGAGTTTAGCCTGTATCGTCACCAGAGCCACCTAGGTTAATTTTGATTTCCCACAGCGCGACACCCATAGCATTTGGCAGCGGCAAATTATATATTATGTATTAACGTGCTAATTTTTCCTTGCAAAGTATCTCTATGAAGATGTTCTAAAGGTGGTCATTCATCTGCTAACTCATGATCCGTCACAAGGAAAACAAGCCAGCGAGGTTGGACACTTAGTTTGGCATAGCTTTGCCTTATGGTATCTATCCTACAACGCCATCTATGAGGCGAGGGTGCGCCTGTAGATATACTATCATCAGGAGTAGATGAAGAACTTCATCTACTCCTGCTATCATGTACAGGACACTATAGGATATCTATAGTACGCGTGGTTTGCTATGGTTTCCTGCTGAGTCGTAGAAGTTCTACCCACGATCCGGCACAGTTGAGGACAATATATACATTAACACACAGACACACACATATATATATATATATATATATATATATATCTATATATATATATATATATATGTATACATGTATATTGTTCTCAGCTGCAGTACGGCTTTGCGGTACGGTATCACGTAGCTCCCTCTAGAGGTCGAGATTGTATTCCTGGTGCAGCACAACTTTCGCCTGCGGTGTCCTGCACACCTGCTCCCCGTGCGCTGCAGCACACTCCCGCATGGCGGCGCGCGCGTCGCTCGCTGCTCCCAGACCCGTGTATGCGGTGTAGAGAAGCTGGTAAGGACGGCGGCGCGTGCTGCCTAGCGCGATGGCGTGCCGGAGACGCACGATCGCTTGCCGATGATGCCCGAACGTCATCAACCAACTCGCTTCGTACTCCAACACCGTCGCGTTGCTGCCGACGGGGATTCCCTCCGCTAGGTGGAGCAGCGCCCGCTCGGCGCGTCCGCCCTGCCGACGCAGCACGGAGTAGCGACGTGCGGTGTGCGCACGCGCGAAACCAACGGGTAGCAGACGCGAACCGTCGCCCCTGACGACGGCGTAGTTATATTCCGGTCGGCTGGCGACGCGTCGCAGCAGCAGCGGCGCGTTCTCGACGCTCACGAAGTCGGCGATGTCGTCGATGGTGGCGACGGCGACGGTGGCGTCGCGCAGGTAGCCGCGAGAGGGCGTGCGTACCCTGGCGGCCGCGCTCCACTCACGGTACTCGTAGTGTGTGCGCGCGATCAGCGGGACGTCACGGTGCAGCAGGGTATAGCCGCCTGCAAAACGTGGCAGAGAGGCTCTAGATTTACTCGCTGTTCATTCGCGATAGATCTAGATTACCGCAATATATAATATATATATATATATATATATATATATATATATAATATATATATATATATATATAATATATATATATATATATATAATATATATATATATATATATATATATAAAGAGAGAGAGAGAGACAGAGAGAGAGAAATACCGGCCAATTATAATATGGAAATATTTAGGATATGTTTGAAGAAACATTGTCACGCGCACACACACACACACGCACGCACACGCACGCACGCACACACATCTTACCTGTCAGGTGTATTGTGTAATCGACTACCACGCCCGTCACGTCTGGCTGTTGACCGACGTAAAACAAACACTCGTTCACATCCTGCGACGTGGTGGCGCTAGCGTAGCTCCACTTCCCGTTGTACGGACTGCGCGAGTCCGGCAGGTGGCAGCAGCCGTTGACGACAAACGCCGCCATCAGCGCGTAGAGGGCGCCACTGCGCCGACGTCGGCCGAGCGTCGCCCTGACGACCGCCACCAGCGCGGCGCTGGCGGCGATCGTCTGCAACACGATGACGTTGTGCACGAATCGCGGTTCCTTGTGTCGCTGCGCCGAGTACAGCGCCAGCAGCAGCAGCGCCGTCGCCCACATCAACAGGTGGCTCCGCCTGGCCTGAGTGCGGCACAGCAGCGTCAGCGCAGGAGACGCAAACATGGCGGCCACCACCGCGTTCTCCAGGAACACGTCCTCGAGGTATTTCCCGGCGCCCTGCCAGCCGAACAGCCGTGCAGCGTGTCCCTCGCGCACGTTGAACGCAAACCACTGCCGCGGCGACACTCCGAACACGCCGTAACGGACGTAGTCGTCGCCACAGCCGACGAGAAATCCGACGGCAAAGCCGACCGCGAGCGTCGCAAAGCAGGGTAGCAGCGTGCGCAGCCGCGGCAGCCAGTAGAGGGCGACACTGACGGCCAACAGCGCGGCGACGTCCAGCCGCACGTAGCAGACGACGCCGAGCGCAGCGCCGCACGCGAACACCGCCAGGTGGCGCGCGAGTCTTCCCTGCCGCGCGCCGCCGACGTGCGTTTTGATCGTGGAATTTTGATTCTTGTCGACTGCAGCAGCTGCTATCCTGCCATCATCAGCCGTTCTGCCACTACCATCACCAACACGATGTCCCACAAACTGTCTCTGACCACTGTCCAGTTCTTGGCAGGATTCGAAATCGTATTCATCACAGGTCGCACGTAGTTTTTCGAACAGGACCGCGAGAAGGAAGAAGACGACGGGAGATAGCAGACTGTTGACGAACGCGTGCGTGCCGAGCACCATCAACTGTGGCGAGAAGGCGACAGCAGCCGCCGCGACGGTGGCGACATCTGTCGAGCGGAGTGCGGATTTCGTGAAGCGATGCACGGCGACGGGAAGCGAGGCGGCGACGGTCGTGTGAAACAGCTTGCTAACCTATGTACACGTAAGCAATGGTCACGGTGTGAGGAGGGTTATTATGGTGGGGAGGGGGGGGGGATTCATGCGCGAAAAACTATACTTGGTTTTTGTTTGCTTTGTCGACTGATGAGTTAAAGAGTTAAAGAGCTTATTGTTATTATTATGATGATTATTATTGTTGTTGTTGTTGTTGTTGTTGTTGTCAACGTAATCACCAATGTCATCATCGTCATTGTGATGATGACAATGATGTTGACGGTCATGTGAAAATCCTCATACCTCACACAAATATCCTACCTTCATTTACTACCTACATGTACATTCAAATACCTCACATTCTTCATACCTGGAATGGGTTTGCGTCGAAGCAGAGCCACCTGGTGGCGGTGAACAGGAGCGCGTAGATGTGCGGATGCAGGAAACTGCGCATGCTGTACATGCCTAGTGCGGCTCTCTGCCGCTCGGCGGCGCTGCCGTTAACTGCCGGAGCGTCCAGGTATTCGTAAGGTCGGAAGCCGTAGCCATACGCCTCCGTGTGGGCTACTAGATAGCAAAATATCATAGAGACAGTCAGCTCTATATATACCCGTAAATATATCGAGATATCAGTCGAATATAGAAGATTCAACGACTTATCTAGTTGTCTAGTTTGTTTGTCGTTCGCCTGCGTGCGTGCGTGCGTGCGTGCGTGCGTGTGTGTGTGTGTGTGCGTGCGTGCGTGCGTGTGTGCGTGCGTGCGTGTGTGTGTGTGTGTGTGTGTGTGTGTGTGTGTGTGTGTGTGTGTGTGTGTGTGT